AAATCTGTGTCGTAGGTGACTCTAATGTTTTCTTAACTCCGAGATGGCCTCCTGTTACAGTATCATGGCATTGACGCAGCACAACTTCCCGTAACTTTCTCGGTATAACCGTTTGCCAGGTCGTCACTTTCCCATCTGCAGTTCCCATCTCTGGACAAGAATACCATCTTCAAGCCTCAACTGGTCCCATTGTGCCCAATAGTTCTTTGTCACAGGGCTCAGACTAGACACCTTCTCCCAAGCAGGGCGCAAAACACTTGCTTTTAGGAAATCAATCATTGGCTTCAAATCTTGGTCTTTCTCCTGTTCTGCCTTGATATCTATATTTGGTTCCACTTTACCATCATCAACTCTTTCAGTCGGTTTGACTTCAACTTGAATGCTTGGGCATTCACGAAGGAACAGGATATTTCTAGAAACGTTGCGTGACACTAGTCACGTGACCTCGCTAACGCAATAGACTATTAGCTAAGATTTTATGCTATACTGATTGGTATAACATAAACAAAAAATAGTTTAATAAAATTTTGAATTTAAGACACAAATATCTTGTGTCATGCACAGTAAAGGATACCTGTGTCGATAGGGTTTATTACGTATTTTTACTAAAATTTTGTCTGTGAATATATGGAATCAGATGTTGACTGCTCTGAGTGCAAAATGGTTTTCATGTTAAAGTTAAAAATACTTTTTTCACCTGAAAAGTGTGAAATTTCATTTGCATATTCTCTAAAACCTCCAAAGTAATTATCAAATGTTATTTTTCCATAAAATGTATATTTTATCTGTTATCTTTTCCACCTTAACTCTGTACTCATCCAGTCAATTTAACTGGCCCTGTAACTACCATAAAATATACTAAATAAATCCAAAATACCCTTTTGTCTTTCTAGAATGATTGCAAATTGTAAAGAGGAAATTACAGTTATTCATCCTAAGTAGCTTAAAGCTTGTAACTGTATACTTCTGTTTATACCTAATTCCCATCCCCCTTTGACCTTGTTTACTTTGTAATTCCACCACACAAGTTGTAAATCACTTGGAGAACATGTTTCTCAAGCTACCATATTGAATTATGTGATACACATGAACGTACCTCGTGTAGAATTTTTATTATGCTACTTAATCTAATAGGTTTCTACATTTTTACATTTTAGTTAATTTTATAATAATAAATAAAGAATATACATGAAAAAGAAGAAATGTGGTTTTTACCTGTGTCCTCTTGTTTTTTTGCTAACAACTGTTGATGAAAATTAAGCCAGTTTTTTTTACTAGTACATTAAATTTTTAATTAATTAAATAATGCACCTAAAAACACAGAACAGCAACATGCACGTAGCAATGTCCTATAACTATCATAATATATCAGGCTTTCTAACTGCAATAAGAGCCTTTAAAAATTTAGCGAAGTTTGTGAATATGTATATTGTGAGAAGAATTTTCACACTACAAGCAAAATACACAATATATTGACAGAGAACAATGCAATGCATCATTTGATAGATTAAAACTTTGGATTTCTGTTGGTTATAAATAATATAGTATAAAACGTCAGGAAACTATTGGTGGTTTGTGAAATAGAGGATGTGACAGATGGGCATGACAGTTGGGTCTGATTTTCTAGTATATAGCCTCGCAAACGAACACAGTTGAAAGCTATAAAAATTATACTTCCTTAGCAATATCTGTATTATAATGAGTAATGTATGTTACATTTTGTACTTTTCAGAGGGGTGGTAAATAAACTAGAAAATAGGGAACAATTAGATAACAAATGTCATAATTATCATACTAGAGGAGATTGAGGATTTTAAAAAACTTTTTCTTATAAAATTAAGAACTTTAAACTTATATAACATGAAAAATCTCATTTATAAAGTACATTTTGATGGCAAATTTATTCATATATAAGGATAATAAAGTTGTTTGATTAAATTTTGAATATAAAACTGCCAGTAGTTAGCAGTAACTTTTTTACTGTTATTTAATAATATTTTCTCAATGACATGTTTGTATAATATTATTAAAAGAATATTTCATACTTCCCCTTACATTTTTTTAACAATACTGTACAAACACTTTAAAGTTTATATTACCTATAAGTGTTTTTTATGTATTAACTAACAGTAGTTTGTATGTTTAAACTTGCATTAGTTTGTATACATTAACTATATAGATGTTATTCTTGTGTGTTTTACAACATGTCCAGTTACATGATGTAGAACGAAACTTTGTGAGAATTGAAAAGGCTATGTACCAGTTATAAAGCAGCAAATACTACCTATACACAAAAAGAAGTTTCAACAACAAATGGACAGCAATCTACTTGTTTTAAAATAATATATTCAAAACAAGTCAACTGTATATACAAAAACTTATTACACTATTGGTTATAACAGTTGTATCCAGAGCATTAAGCAATTGTCTCCTTTACTTTAACATTCACACCAAATATTCTAAATAAAACTCTTGTACTGAACATAAAGTCGTGTGTAGCTAACACTCATTTTACTGAATAATACCTTCAATCCATGTTATTCGTGACTTGTGTCCAATAACAACTCTCAGTTCTGAATGGCTATCATTGAATATAAAATTAGCAGTTCTCTTCCTTTTTAACTTCTAGTTGTTAATGTTAAATTTTTCATATTTCCTATGACAAGGCACAAGGTCCTAAAGGCTCTTGTGCATCTTGCTGTTTTCTCCATCCAATTTCCTCCTTTTCTACTCTCAAGATTTGAGAAAGTTTACTGAAGTAATTTGTTATCACCAAAAAGTCACAGACACGTACTGTACAGAGTCTTGGCACATACAAAAACCTGACAATGAGTACTGTCATTAGTATTTAGTACTTAATGAAAGATAAAGCTTTCAATGTATTAAGCTAGAACACATGATTGATTAAGATATGGAAAGGTTGAAAAATAAAATCCATTACTGATGTTTATTTAAGACTTGGTAAAAGATAAAACTTACCATGTATTAAATTAAAACACGGTCACCTGATAAAGTGGATCAAGATATCAAAAGGCTATGAAGTAAAATCCTTAATATCTAACCATTCATATGAAGTATTCATTATATAAACAATTTTTCAAAGAACACTTGAAACAAACTGTGAGACAACACAACAAATCTTAAAGTCCCACAAAGTGTGTGTGTGTGTAAACAGAAGTTTACTTAGAGCAGGAAAAAAGAACATAAGAGTAAAGATTCTTATAACAATTATTGGGATTCAAATAAAATAAGAGCATTATTTCTGCAGAACAGTGTTCTTTAGGCATAAATATAGTGAACAAGATTATAAATAGGGAGCAAAATGAAAGTGTAGT